TGATGAAAGTGAACGGACGCACGCTTCTCAATCCGCAGTCCGCACTTTGGTGGGAATCGGCGTTCATGCTAGATTGGAGTGAACAATGCACAATCACTTCACAGAGGCAACTAACCGACTGTGAGGTGTTTTGTTGGTTGACGAGAAGGGAGTGGAGATAGCAGTGCAACTGCAATACACTTGTATTTCGGCATGCCTGTGCAAGACGAAGTGTTGAGTAGTGGAGGCAATGCAACATCAATGACGGTAGCACACCTGTGCGCTCCTCAACTCTGAGCGCTAAATCAGTTTGTTTGTGTGATGCAGTGAAGGCTTGTGTGAAGTGTGGAGAGGTGATGGGTCACATGGTGAATTGAGCATGACGAAGTGGATGTGATTGGAAAGTGGGAGAAGGGCATGTGATGTTGACTGATGTGGCCGTGAATGGAGTGAGGAGGAGATAGTGGGGTGAGGGAGGTGGAGGGAGAAGGTTCACAGTGGACAGCGGAGACTGCAGACAACGCAGCATGTACTTGCAGTGACATGTAGAGCCTGTAGACGGGTTGATCGCCACCAAATTGTTCGCGTGCATTGGGTAGACAGCAAGTGCTCATCACTTGCCCACCTTGAGGCAATTCGCGTTGCTTCAGCCTATTGGTTCATCGTATCTATTGTTGTTGGTGTGTGTGTGAGCGGGTGGGTGTGTGTGTGTGTGGAGGGAGGGAGTGGATGAGTACTTGAATGAGTGGGTGTTGAGGGTGTTTGCGTATGGGTGAGTGCGTAATGGGTAGAGGTGAGAAGGGTAGAATGCTCTCCACCTGCTGGCATGCGGACTTCACTTCCACACCCAACATTGTCCGTTCTGTTCGAGGGAGAGGTCTTTCACTCACGCGGACACGAGCAGGCAGTGTGTTGAAGGTGGCGATATTACTACGTGGCATCTCGCAACACCTATTCACCACCGAGCAGTGAGGAGGAAATGGAATGCGGTTTCGTCTACGTTGGTGATGGTATACAATGTATGAGATCAAAATTGTTCCACGTTTCCGTTTGGTGGGGCTACCACATGCGCTGCCAAAAAACGCGTCTCAAGCATACACAGTGACTCATGGAAAGGAAAGGCAAGTGGGTGTCGCGTTGGGGTTGCGTGACTTTGGCTTGCCCTTTGGTCGCTGTGGTTGCGTTTAGGAGGTCTGCTCACTGCACCACCACACACACACACATGGTGGCGGAAGTGGGTTTGCCTTGGTCATGCCTCCCACACATCACACTACAGTCGGTGCACGCACACAGAGCTGGTGTTCGGTGGGGGCACAAATTGCGTGCACTCCCTCATTGCCACCGAAGCCACGATGCGCAGGCACTCGCACACACATTGTGCTCACACCAGCACTTGTTACGGAGGCTATAGTCCTTCATCTCGTCCTCCACTCCGACGCCGAACACACCCAGAAATGGTCTCAGGTAGTCGAGGTGTGTTAGTGATGTCGCGTTTGTGTTGAGTGAGTGTGCGGACGATGTGAGCAATTTGTCCGATTGAACATCACTGTTCCGGTGGTGATTGACGGGTTCGGTGAAGAAGTTGAGGAAGGGAGAAATGCGTCATTCTACTTCTCCCCATAGTCACGTTCCCCTTCATTGTGAGGTGTGTCGAAACTGGTGTGGCAGCAGTATGTCGTGTTGCCGAAAGGCGTCTGAGTGGTTTGGTCAGACGGTTGGCCTGTTTGTCGGTTGTGAGTCTGTGTGATACGGTAAGGAGGCGAGGCAAGGCGAGGTGAGGCGAGGTTTGAATGGGCACGCATGCATGTCGTTGTGGTTTTAATATGCGAGTGTGATGAAGTGTTGATTTCTGGTTGCAGGTGTGGGCTATGAATTAGTGAAGTAAGGGAGATGATAGGTGTGTTCTGATTTGGTGGGTGATTGGGTGGTATTTCACCGATTTTGCTAAGAGGCGCAAGGATAACTGGTGTGCGAGGTGATGGACGAAAGCTGTTTAGAAACTAACTTTCTCATCGTTGTATCCGTCTGCGTGCGTGGGTAGAATGAGATTAGCACTCTACTTGAGTGAGAAATTTGAGGGCGAGGGCGTGAAGGATTATATTAGCTCAAATTTTATAAGCACATGTGCAGTAGAATGAATAAATGTTTGTTTTATTTGACACTTTTGATACCTATGGCCTTTTATCCCATACCTATACTAGAAGAAGTGAGCAAATAGGAATTCCGGAGGCTGTTCACTTAAGAAGCACACTTGCTGACAAACGCTAATTGGACTACCCAGTGAGAGATTATACGTGAAATATTCTAAGGGCCGAGAAACGGCACAATTTGGCAATAAAATTGGAATGTGAGTTGTAATTATTCGAGTTGCTACCTTAAGATTTACGAATGAAAAATTCGAAGACACGCATAAGGTCCAATTCTCCTTACCCCTTCAGTTTCTTTCGAGAGGGTCTCCTAAGTCATGCACCTAGGAATGCGGCTGCGCATCATTTGGGGACACGGCGGCACTATAAGAGGGTGGCATTCACAGGGTTGTCCGCAGGCTTGGTCACTGCTGCAGTGGCACAAGGACTTACCTCGCGCGAGTGGCGTTACTTTACCTTACCTTAGGCATGCTGTACGCTAATAGCTGTTAATTTGCACTTCGATGTGCACACAGCTTAATTGGAGTACAACTTATTTTAACCAACAAAAAAATTGTAACATGCCATCAAGAGGCAAATAAGGCGCCGCTGTTGGTAGGAATGATGGGAAAGAGGCGCGAAGAAACCGCGCATTAAAATAGTATCATCTTTCCACATATTCTCCTTGCCCTTTCTATTGAAGTGCTTTCCAACAGTTTCAAATGTAAATTCAAGCCAATACCCAGAAAATTTATTCGTTAAAAAAGTATGCATTTCATGCGCAATGTGCTGCGTGTGAAGGGCAGTCCATCAAACTACTCTCTGGCGAAGTAGCCACGAAATCCTTAATACTTATGCGGCCCCAATAGCGGGATAGCAAAGACGATGCGGTTTTCGTCCAGCTCTCCTGTAGTCGCTCCCCAAGAACGCAAATAAACAGTTAATCAACGCGCATAAAATGAAATATACGGCCAGCACGAGAGTGGCCTTAAACAAATTAACCCGATGGCGTAGTAACCACACTACGCGTTGTAAAACCAAATGGTGCGATGAACGGAAATTAAAAGCATCCAACGTTTTGGCACCGATGACACCATCAAACAATGCTGGCCTGGTGTGATCATGCTGAGCTGCCAAACTCGAGGTGAAAGTCAGTACCACCATGCTCAAGAAAATGCTCACTCACGCATTTAAGCCTCTCAATTAGGCAAGGCAGCTTGTTACATTGAATTTGTTTTGGCTGAATCATGTGTCATCCTAAAACACTTGCCACGAAAGTGAGGTGATGGAGAAAGAAAAAACAATACCCACATCTTTAGATGGTTGGAGATTGAAATAAAGAATACGAGCGATAGCGACTTTTGATACTAAAGGATAAATTAGCAGAGAATTGAGGTAAGGAGTGAATCGCTACTGTTAAAGTGTTACTGTAACTAGCGACCTGTCTCAATAAGGACCAAAATTTTCCCCCAAATCCAAAAAGGAACATTTTTACTAACACTAACTGAATGGACTTCGCCTGCGTTGAGAAGACAGTAGATCAAGAAACCACCTGGAGAGGAAAAAAGGAACTATCCCATTTCACGAGAAACGCAATCTCACGACATCGACCGAATAAAGGCAAGCGGTAGCCGGAAACCAGCACCGTCGAAGATTAAGAACAGTACAGCCCGACAAAAAAACAAGTGGACGACCAGGTCTAAGTTCCAAATAGCGAAAAAGAAACGATAAGAAAACCCGTCCTTAGAATGCAGACTAGGTTTAGCAATATCCAAAGATCAAACATCCCTCCAAACAGGGCAACAAGAGTAAACGCAAGATCTGGCTACAGAAGAAACAACTCACCTTCATGGGTTCGACGGATCTGGTAGTTCCATTGGATTCGCCTTCTCCACCACGGACAACTTCCAATGCAGGTCGTCGAGCACTGGTCCAGAGACGCGAAGCGCCCCCACTGCTACCGTTGGCCGTGCTACTGCTGTTACCACTAGCAGCGGCATTGCTTCGGTTGGCAGCCGCTATGGCTTTCGATCTGGCGGCGAAGACGTTGCTCTCCGACCCCTCTACTACGTGATCAATGGCGTACCATTGGTCAGAGGGCTTGCCCATTAGTTCCAGAACTTTTCTGCGAAATACGAAAAAGTAGCACTCATTTCCTGATCGACAGTCCCGTGATCATTCCCAACAAATTTGCATGTCCAAAGGCTCAAAGACGCCACTCAACACCAAAAAAACGACAATCTTAGGCAGTATGCTGAAGAGAGTTGCATTCGTAAACCCAAAAGAGATGAAATATTGAATCTAGACCGATTTTTAAGCAATCGCGAAATGAGGGAATTGAGATAATTTTTAAAGGCAATAAAGAGGACAGGTTTAGTAATTCTCAAAGTTGCAAGATCGTGGGAAGAATCTGCACGAAAGGTCGGCCGTAACCGAACTGTAGGTAAAGTTAAAATAGGAATAAAAATCGTGTGTGGCTTAATTGAGCTCCACGATAAAGACTGCGGGCATCGTCAACGCTTTAATATTAATAAAATGGTCAGTTCACACAAAACAATCTAGCAATTTGGTGAAAAGGCGGCCAAGTAAAGACTCAGCGTCAACAGGAAGTCATCGACTTCGGAGGAAGTTAGTATTAGTTTAGACAAGTGGTCCGAAGCTCAATGTGAACACAGATAGGGGAGCCTGTTTTTCGTTAGCACAAAACTTCTACCTCATGAAAACCACTCGAATTGCCGAATGCTGTCAAGAGCGCCCGAAGGCCGCCTACAGATCTAACGCCAATGAAAGCACAAAGAGTGACAGCCGAGTCATTATGAATGCAACGTAATTGGAAAGAGGCCAACCAGAAAGGGAGAAGGGGACTGAGTAACCGCGGTGAGCCTCACGAACTCCTCCCTAATTAAATCATCAGTTTGTTCATTAAACTTGGTAAGGGGAACCAGTGAAAAGTTGAGCCACAGCCAAGTTATTATGAACGAGCCCAGAGATGAGACAAAATGCACGGTAAGGCAAATATGAATGACAAACGTGGACAGAGGACAGGTATAATGGTAGAAATTTCCAGAGTATTGATTTGAGCAAACCTGTAGCCGAAAAACATCAATTTTCTAACTTTATCCTTGCGGTTCTACGATCTCCTCAACCTACTTGCATCATTTTTAGGAGTGCAGCCTTTAAACTATTATTATGTCAACTACGACTGCCATGGAACCAACAAACCTGGGACACGCACAGCTTTGCTTCCCTCCCCTGGGCACTCAAATCATGTGGTCGGTCTTGTTTTTCAAACACAGATTGAGGCTGCTTTTTCAAATGCAAGTTCAAATATTTATGCTAATTTAAGCACACCTATCAAGTCCACGAAATGTGAACCACCCAAACTCGAGTAGAAACGTGTTAAAATGCTTGCTGAACAAGACGATGCGCAATGCAACTAGACCTGATTCAACGCGGATAAACTGCTACTGACGAAGGTAATAACTTGTCCATACTCGCCAACAGATGATGCAGTCGCGGTGCAAAGAGAAGCACCTTGAGGTGACTATCAAAAACCCTCGATTAAATCTCCTTGCGCGTACTACCTTCACCTTGGTTCATAGACTTTAAAACACTTTATTCCCCCTTAGGATAAAAATCATTCAGTTGGAACGAAACGAGGGACACTAAGCAACTCACCCAAGGTTGGCTATCCTACTGAACACTTGCTCGAAAGAAGACTCACGTATTCGAGAATGAAAACAGACCAAAGGTTGAATGAAGCCAGAAACAAAGGTAACTCCGAGTCCAGAAATGAGAGAAACCAAATACCTTAATGCAGCCAAGGGGAAAAACTTTCATCTAAGTCAACAACATGAAATGAAAAGAAAATTAAGGAAATTCAGTGAACACGTTACCATGACGATTTACTAGTGATTTTAACTATAGCATACGCCCAAAGCCAAAAAGTAAGCCGCGTACATCATGCGGTAAAGTAAAGCATCCTTTATTTAGCAGGAACACATCAGCAATTGAGGAACGTGGGAGATGGGTCCGAGAAAGGCACTTTTTCTGTCTTTGAAGAATTAACCAAGTGGATAGCAATAATACTTCCACGCGGTCCGATTCTGTCAATTCTATAAAATCGCAAGTCGATTTAGTCGACACGCCTTTCACACCGTGGATGAAGCTGTGGTTAAGGTTGAACAACAAAACACTTACTAAAATTGCTAACGCCTTGACACTTCCTTGGCCAAATGCAAAAAACCATGACAAACAGGCGAGACATTTTATGACAAATGAGTTACCCTCAGTACCTTGTGGCGGATGTATGTGCGCGCATGTATTAATATGCATGACATTGTCTCGAGGACCTAGCAAAATGCATGTCTTTTTAATCCCATTCACCAATAATGAACTAAGGATGTGAAATACGTAGTGGTTGAATAGGGACTCATACCAAGATAGGAAGAGCAGTACGAAAAAAACTTGTCAACTGAGCAGTAATGTAGAGGAGGACCTCAAAGCTTAAGAAAAGAGTCTGAGAGAACGCTAAAAAGGAGCAAATACCACTTTTGGCATCTTCACAAGTTATTCATTCCTTGGTTTGGACGGAGATATGCTCAAATGGCTACACGACCCAAGCCTGCGTCAGTAGTTAAAAAACCTGAATTTGAATGCTAAACTGCCTCCAGTCATAAATGTCACGATGTGAAGTAAAAGCAAGTAACGAAAATAAAATCATGCTGTTTCCAATCTGATGAAGTGCCAATGCTTGTATACACTCCTAGAAGGCTTGCAAATCAACATATGTATTCCTCATAAAACAGGCAGCAAGAAAATGTGCTGCTCGCCTTATCACTTTTCTCCTACTTTCTACCACCACAGATCATTACTGCAACCAGGTGGATGTGATTGTAGCCCTCCTTCTTTTAAGTAAAAGTGGTCAAACTCACAAGGCTCTAAGGACTGACGCTCGGCACCTCGAGATGTGACATACGGCAGCGGAGGTAATCAATCACCCTAATCAGAAACACCCTCCACTTCGATCACACGCAGTCGTGTGTGCCACCTTCCACTAACAACAATCCATTACTAACATGTCATTAAAATCTTCAGGAAACACTTAAAATCCTGTGAGTGCGGAAGAGCGCGTAGTTTGAGACGGCATCACCAGGAAATGGGAAGGTAAGTTGTGAAGTCAAGGAAACATGAGACGAAATTCTCTCCATCACTTCATTCTTCCCACAACAACCCGGCATACATCTTCGACTGTCGGTCCCTATTCTAGCTTCCATCCACTGACCTAACACAACATGGATCATTTGCAAGCTCTTCTTCTTGTGCCAGACGACACACCATTCCCACAAGGGTACTGTTTGCTCATTTCACACCCCAAATGTTTACCATATAATCTTGGCTTCATAAGCTCCACAGCCGATCAGCAAACGTGGTGACAAACAATGGGCTGGTGGTTTCCATCTCTTTACACCGCCAATATTGGATAGTCAAGCGATCGTATCATCGAACGCTCACCCGCCAAACCGACAGTCAAAGGTTAGGAGATGCGAGTGAGGTAGGTGGTGGATTGATAGGCAGACAATGGAAATGGAAGAGTAGTTCAAATTCTGAAGACAAAATGTCTTATGGCATTAGGATTGCGTCAGTCCTTTTTAGCTGCCTCAAAACAATACCAGAGTACAAATCATCCGTCTCTCTCCCTTCCCTTCCTTCTCCCCCCCCCCCCC